AGCGCGGTAGCCCGGTAGCCCCCCCTCCGGCTCCTTACCTTGTTCGTCCGTTGCAGTGAGAGTCCGCCATCTTGCCATTTGATCAAATTTAAATCACTCTGGAATTTGGAAAAAAAAAAATCAGGGGTTTTCAAAACATTTAGGGAAACTCCAGATGGGAAAACAAGTAAAAGTTGCAAAATGACATTTAGTCTTTCAAATCTTCATTTTAAACTGTAAACAAGGAAAAAAGTACAAGTAGCTTATAACTGTACTTATAATATAGAATGAATATGACTGTTTTAAAAATATAAAGTCAAATTTAGGGGGACATTATCGCTTTAGGAATGCTTTTATTGTTGAATATGTTTCTGTCCTTGTACAAACATTTAAAATCTCAGCACTTTGAGTCAGAGTGCTTGTCAGGGTTTTTTCTCAAATAATACATTCAGCACAAATATTAACAATTGTAAACATAAAACAACTCCACATTACATTGCACTAATTAGATATTACAAAGCTTGCCACTGCTTTTCTGACTGATGCTGAGCCCAGTTCTGTTCTCTACTTTTGCTTTCAGCATATTCATCAGCGCACACACTAACCAGTAGGATGACTAAACATTTAGGTATGATCATTTTCATGGGACAAAAAGATGTTTGGAATTATTTATTGTGTGCAAAAGTTTCTAAAAAAGCCTTTAAGAGAATGTTTTCCTGGTACAGCTATTGAAGGCTCAAGAGTAGCAAAGAACAATGAAACCCATACAACTTAAATCAATGTTAAACCTTTTCTAATGAATATAAAGAGAGAGAAATACATATCTAAATAATTTGTGATAAAGACATCAAGTTATCCCAATACACATTGCTGGAGATGGCATTGATTCACATTTCATTTGGAATTCTTCCAGGCATCCCGCATTGATTTTTCACCAGTTGGTGAGATATGAAATGGGCCCTTTTACATTATCACGTCTCTGCTTCTTCCACACTGTTGTTCACTTGGCATGCAGGTGTTCCTGCCTCACACAAATTCACACGGAAAAATATGTGAACACAGACATTCAGAGCTTCTGATAATGACATGTGCCGACAAGAGAGGCAAGACAGAGTTAAAGTGCTACACTCTCCTCTCAATGAACAGCTGCCGTTGAAATCCCAAGAGTAAGGCATTTCAGTTTAAACTGCTGGAAAACGCCATTCACTGGTCAACAGTGGTGAGCTGTGATTGCACTAAGCAGCTTCCAGGTGTGAAGGCATGGCAGCAGAGTTGCAAACAGCGTGCACTGGAGCTCTGAGGAGGCTTCTTTGACAAAGAAAAAGAGAATAACACAAGAAAAGGAGTACAACAAACAGCAGCTGTCTACATTCAGTTAAAGCAATGATCTCATGCACTAAGTGCTCACAGTTGAGATGGGGGCATATAAGAACGTACAGATTGGCTGACACAAGACGT